TTATTTATCTTATGAGCAATATTTAAATCTAGTTTTTCAGTGTTATTAAGTAACTCTAAAACTGGATTTGAATTAATTATTAGGCCATTTAATGAAAAACCAGAGTCAAGAAAGTGATTCCTTAATAATTTGATCATATGTGGCGTATTCGCAAAAACATAAACATTTTTTTTTGCTAATGGGATTTTCAAACCACGTATTTTGTTCACTTATATTTAGAGTACACCAAAGAGTTCTATTACTACCGCCTAAATCACTATTTATTGCGTAAACTGGGTATCCAATGTTTTCCAATTTTGTTATAATTTCAAACAATATGTGTTTCGTGATTTTACAATCGTAATTGTAAAATATTGGTTGTTTCCAGTTGCCAAAAATTCCTCGAGCCATAACAACTTGAGCATAGTTGCTCGGAGCAAGTGTAGTGTCGTTTTTCTTATCATATTCATAAGATGTCTGAATTTTCATCTCGTCAAAAAGCAAAACACAGGCCTTCTCCATTTTGGACATCTCGTTGTTTTTCATCAGTGTCAGGACTGTACTTAATATACCTAAAAATATATTCGTAAAATGCCCTTGATTATAAACTACAATATATTATTTATTCTAGACTGAATATATTAATTCACTGAATTATCGAAATGTATTTACCTGGTTGCAAATTTATTTTACTTGCCCATCGTCTTAACGTTCCTATAGCCGGAAGTGGGTAGCCTCTTTTTCTTAATAAACGATAGGACCTTGCCCCCGCAGCATACAAAGAAAGTGCCGAAGCAATATCTTCAATTGTCCACTTAATTTGTTTTTTAGTTTTTAGTTTTTTTAACTGTCCTTTAGTAAAAATTTCCTCGGTTTTACTTTTTTCCTCCTTCTCTCTTCTAAGAAGTTCCTTCAATTCTTCATTTTGAGTTTGCAAATCCTTTATTTGTTCCATGGCTTTTTTGACTATATCGTTTTCACTAAAATTAAATAATTTTTAAGTAGATCATAACTATTAATAAAAGTGTTAAAAATATAATTTTTTCCTCTTACATTGCAGTTTTAGTAGCGATATCCTTAACTTTTTTGTCGAAAGTTTCTTCTACAGTTTTTTTTTGCAATCTCATCTGACTTATTTGATACTTCAGGTTGTAGTTCATTTATATCTTCTCTGCAATAAAAGTTAAATACATAAAGAACACATTTTACTACCACATTCGTAGTAAATCATACATCCAAAGTGACTTTTTTAAAGACCTACTAAAAATAAAGTATTACTTCAAGTTCTATTAAAATGAGCATTCGTATATATTATTATCTATAGAAACAGTTATTATTATCTATAGAAACATTTACTCTGCTGTTAAAGTGTGTCTAAAACCAAAATACTTACATGTTTTTTTAATACATTTATTTCCTCCATTCTTTTGGGTCTATTTTCAGGCGATGTTTTAGCGCTTGGTGATTTTATTAAATGAAGAGAAGGTATGGCATCATTTCTTAACTTCCACTGTTTTTCAGGCAATCCCAATAGTTTTTCTTTTAAACAATAATCAGCTTCTGTAAAATGTTTTACGCATATTCTAGCGGTTTCTACATTAAATTTGTCTCGCTGAATACATTTGGAGACCCATAGTTTACGCATTTGTTTGTCTCTAGGAAACCCAAAAAAACGACACGTCGAAAAAGTTTTACTTTTTTTATTATTATTGTTTAAACAACCCACCGTTGTTATACCGATATAATAAACGTCCGTACCAGAAGGGGGGCAAATGCGGATTCTGATCACTACCTGGTAGAAAGTAGGATAAGGGCTAGAATTTCAAACATCAAAAAGGAAAGAGGCTCTAAACATGAACGATACAATATAGAAGGACTCAAAGAAACAAACAAAAATAGAGAGTACAAAGAAAATATAAGCATCAAACTAGAAAACAGACTAAAACATGAAAACCTAAATGAGGAGTGGGAAGAGTGCAGAGAAATCATAAAAGAAACAGCTAAAGAGGTGTTGGGCATGGAAGGTAAAGAAAGAAGAACAAGAACGAATCACTGGTTTGACGAAGAATGTCAAACTATAACAGAAAGAAAAAACAGAGCATATCTACAGATGCAACAGAGGCACAGAACCCGACAAGCAGAGGAAGAATATAAACAACTACGTAAAGAAGAAAAGAAAATTCACCGAAGAAAGAAGAGAGAATATATCAACAAAGAACTTCAAGAACTACAAGAACTAAGTAAACCAACAGAGACAAGAAAATTTTACCAGAAACTCAACAAAAGCAGAAAAGAGTTCAAACCGAGAACAACGATGTGTAAAGATAAGGAGGGTAATATATTGACAGAACAGCAAGAGATACTTAGAAGATGGACAGAACATTTTAAGGAAAAGCTTGGGGTGAATAGGACGGAGATGAACCCTGATATACCGTTAGACCAAGCAGACAACAGAGAAAAGAGTCCACCAACAACAGCAGAGATTAGAACAGCAGTGGACTAATTAAAGAACAATAAATCACCGGGATCGGATCAAATATCATCGGAGCTACTGAAAGAAGGAGGAGACGCATTACTTAAAGCCATACATGAGCTGATAAGAAAGATATGGTTGAATAAACAGCTACCAAAGGAGTGGAATAGCGGCATTATTGTACCACTACATAAAAAAGGAAACCAGTTAGAATGTGAAAACTACCGTGGAATCACGCTGTTGAATGCGGCATACAAAATAATGTCCAACGTAATGTATGAAAGACTTAGACCATACGCTGAAAAAATAGTTGGCAAATACCAATGTGGCTTCTGTAGACAGAAGTCAACAATAGACCAGATATTTGTTCTGCGACAGATCCTTGAAAAAACAAGTGAATATAACATCGACACACATCATCTCTTCATAGACTTCGAAAGCGCATATGACAATATAAACCGAGAATTCCTAACAAAAGCAATGAAAGAATTTAATATACCAACACAGCTAATAGAATTGATAAAAGAAACACTAAAAGTAGAAAGTAAAATCCGGATACAAAACGAATTAACGGAAACAATAGATGTGAAGAAGGGACTACGCCAGGGAGACGCTCTATCATGCATATTATTTAACATCATACTTGAAAAAATAATAAGAGACACAACAGTTAATACCCGAGGAACAATAATTAATAAAAGCGTGCAAGTACTAGCATTTGCAGATGATGTTGACATAATCGCAAGATCAAGAAGAGAAATGATAGAGGCATTCACTCAAATAGAACGAGCTGCAAAAAATAGTGGTCTTAAAATCAATCAGACAAAAACAAAATATATGCCTGCAAATAAAAACGCACAAATAAGGCAGCTGCCAAATTTAACAATAGGAGAATACAACATTGAGGCGGTAAAAAACTTTACATACTTAGGATCCCTAGTTACGTCTGATAACAACGTTGCAGAGGAAGTGAAGAGGAGAATATTTATTGCCAATAAATGTTACCATGGCTTAATTAGGCAACTAAGATCAGATAACGTCTCCAGAAAAACAAAATGCCAAATATACAAAACCTTAATAAGACCGGTACTCACATACGGTTCAGAAACCTGGACACTCTCTAAAAGGGAGGAAACGTTATTAGCCACCTTTGAAAGAAAAATCTTGCGACACATATATAAGGGCACAAAAGAAAACGGGATTTGGCGGAGAAGGTATAACTTTGAACTATACAACATATACCAGGATCCGGATATCATAACATTCATTAAAATAGGAAGGCTACGTTGGATTGGACATGTGGAAAGAATGGAAGAAGGCGAAATACCAAACAAAATATTCAAACAAGTGCCAGTAGGAAAAAGAACAAGAGGAAGACCGAAGCTGAGATACGTAGAACAAATAGAAAATGATATAACAACATTAAAAATTAAAAACTGGAAAAAAAAAGCACGAAACAGGTCAGAATGGAGAAGAATCCTTGAACAGGCCAAGACCCAAAAAGGGTTGTCGAGCCAGTGATGATGATGATGAAACAACCCACCACTGCACAATACATTATGGCAAACAAATAATTATTAGTCTTCTTTATAAAGTAGCTACAGGTAGTCAAGAGGAAGTTGCGTACAACAAACAAATTAAGTGATATTACCACAGTAAACTGAATATTTTCAACACAAGATTTATATAACAATATAATATACAAAGACTTTACTACATCAATAAATAAATAAAAAAATCGTTCACTACATTTTAAAATTTACAGGATAGAAAACTCAATTAACACAGCAACATAATAACATGAACATTACATTTAACTTGCTGTCATTAAATTAGTCTCTAAATGCGCATTGATTTATCTTGTTTTGTTATAGTATCATGGCAATAGTCCATTCCCCCAATGTGACAGATAATGACACAATGCAGTCACTGCATATCTTTCTAATTTGTCAGGTTTATCAACCACATGACCTAAATGACCAATGAGAAAGTCACATAAAAAGAGTTGCAGGGACTGCTTTGTGTCAGTTTTCTCTGTCACACTAGGGGAACTCAACTGTAAAGCAGCAGTCAGTCTATTTGTATATGGTTGTAACATCCCTAAGGTTAAGGTTGTACGGAGCCAAAGCATACAAAAATAATGTAAACTTACTGTACTAATTGGTGACAACACAAAACTAGGTAATTATTAAAACATAGGTATATGATCTACATGAACATTGGATTAGTAACAACAGCAATAACTAAGAAATTTGGTATATATACTGAATGCTCAGATAAAAATGATATAACTAGGAAGAAAGAACCAGAGACATGCATCAAAACCAGAAACCGGATAAGACCAAAAGCATTCATGTATTTTTGTTAACACTTTCAGCTATTTTAGTCTTTATGTACAGTTACTATCTTTTTTATACTTTCTTTCACTGGTTTACTGGTTAATATAGCCTACAGTATACTATTATAATAAAAATAATCAAAGGACAATTAATACTATTTAATGATTTACTACCAAACTTAGTAAAACATCTTTTCTCTACAAAATTACCTGTCTTCAAACTCCTTCCAACTAACAGCATAATCATCAGTTAATGTCTCTAATACATCTATTCCAAATGGTTTTCCAAACATGTGGATTCCGTTTAACGATCCTGTTATAGAGAATGGAAGCTAAAATAATACTTTTTAGCAATGAAATGCAACAATTATTCAAAAATTACCGGCTCCGAATTTCCTTTTTTCCTGGATAATATAGGAAGTCCTCCACTGGAAGTACCACATAAAACATATGCAGACATTGTAGTCGGAGTTAATTATTGAATAAATATTTAAATATATAGTTACTAAGGCATTAAGCTTCTTAAAAACAACTTCTAACTAAACAAAAACAATAATAAACGGTACTGTTGTTAACCTTGAAAACGTTGTTATTTGTTATGATTGGTGATGTGATGACAGATAATGACATGTGTCTTAAAACCTACTTCTAATTCCAGTGTTGGAGTGAGGAAGTAGAAATATAGTTAGCGCTTAGCCTTGCCACAGCTGAAATAATTATTTATACAAGGGAAACTATATTAGATTTTAGTTCGAAGTTGTGTGGTTTCTCAACGTCCAGATTTAATATTATTCTTGTTACTAAAAAAAGACAATATAATATTAAAAATTATTATTATTATATAATAAACTCAGAATATTATCGATTTGAATTTTGGTTTTTTTTATGCTCCTAAGAGCATCTACATTGTGGTATATAACATAGTTCATAATCAAGCTCATCTAAGCATTCTGGATGAAATTATCTCTGGAGCACCTTTTTTCGGATTAAAACAATGGTTTATTGCCTGTTCTTATTTTTTTGTCCATTTTTGTCCGTTTACTGTCTGATATTATGGCCAGTGCTTCCTTGTCGATTTGGGTGAAGTTTTTTTCAGTAGATGATAGAGTACGGCTATGGTATGCCACTAAATATTCACATCCCTCATCATCCCGTTGACTAAACACACAACCTACCCCGTAAAGATTGGTATCACACGTCAAAAAGAAATCTTTTTGTTCGCTGTAATGTCCTAACACTGGTTTTTTTGCGTACATGTCGTTTAATAAATCAAAAGCTTTATGTTCTTTGAAACAAGGTTTTGTTCTGGAGAGGGAACGTCCCTTCGAAGCATTGCACGTAATGTATTCGCAATCGCCTTGTCTTAGAGAAACATGATAAAAATTTAAAATTCCAATAAAACCTTGCAACTCGGTTTTATTGGTTGGCGCAGTTGTATTTATTTATGACCGAGATTTTGTCTTTAGTGGGACGTATCTTTACTAATTTAAAAACCAAGAAACCAAGAAACTCTATGGTTTTTGTTCGAAAAACGCACTTTTCTTTGCGTAAATGTAGCCCCGTCTTCCTGGAAACGCGATACTACCGCGCGCACTATTGACAATAACTTTATTTCTAAGCTACCGACCATTAAATGGTATTGTTATAAGGTAGAACACCAGGAATACCCGTTAATTTAGGATCTATTAATTTTTGAAAAATTTGTGGAGCCACGGATATACCGAACTGATATTGATTGTAGTTAAAAGTTCCTTTATGCGTGTAGCTTCGCGGTTGACACTTAACTGCATAAGCTTTCGCCATGTCCAGTTTTGCAAAAATTTTCCACAAACGGGCAACGTCCCCGTTTTCTCTGCAAACAGTCACAATTGAAGTACACCATTTTGGATGTGTAATTGGCTCCGAAACTCTCTGCATAATAAGCATGTCCAGTTCAATGTCAATTTTGTCTTTTAGTGCAAATGGCGCTTTAAGCATAATTAGCTTTACATTTTTGCCTAATGAAAAACTTATTGGAAGACCCCGGTAAGATCCCAAATCTGTATGAATTATATCTGGTTATTTTTCTAAACACTTGATCATGGATAAATCTGATTTACATCCAGCTATGGTTAAAACTAAACTATTAAACCAGTTTCTACCCAGTAGACTGGCGTGTTTGCCTTCTGTGACTATAAGAGGAAGTGTCGCTGCTGGTTGACCTCTCTTGACCTCCACTTGACATTCATCCAGGGTGAGTATCACTGTGTTTTGATAATCCCGCAAAATAAGACTGGATTGATTTATTTTAGGTCGATTCTCACTAAAGATTGTATGTTAGGTTGATTTGCTTACCACTGAAAAACTCGCTGCCGAGCCAACCTCCATTTTTTACCTTTTGGTCATTGAGTAGCACGTCTACTAAATATTTACCAGTAATGCTATCATGATAATATGTACAGGTTGATTTAATGTGTTCACAAGTTTCGGGATAAGGGTCCCTTTGGCACCGAAAATATTTTTTCCTCGTGATTAGTTGTTTTTTGGTTTTGAACTTGCCCACCTGATTTGTACGAAACCTTACCGTGTTTATATCTGCACTCGACTCACTTTCTTGTAGCACCTTCAACGTTTCCACGGCCACCTCGTGTGCAAGGCATATGTCTTGCGCGTCTTGAAGTTTTAACTTATCTGTAGCACAGCATACACACACATATTTGTTCCGTATGCTGTGTCTGTGGCCAGCAACTTTTGCTGTAGCGATTCGTCGGCAATACCACGAATAAGTCGGTCGCATAGCATTATGTCAAGGCCAGTTCCGAAACCACAGGGTTCTGCCAATTTTCGTAATTCTTTCATTGACACAGATATTGTGTCACTAGTATGTTGATTTCGACGATAGAACTTAAACCTGCACACAATTTCAGACGTTTTTAGAAAAAAAAAAATGCTTTTTTAACTCAGCTATGATCTGGTCATAAGTTTTATGACACTTTGACCGACGTTACCAAAAATCGAATAATTGTTTTAAGTGTAGAACTGAAATTATGACATTTGTTAGTTTTGGTTTGAGCAGCGAAATATGATACATCTAAAAATAATAATAGTCACAAGTCAGGGTTTTATTATAACAAGTACAAGGAAAGTAATATAGCTAACAACTAACATTTTTGGCAGTCTATGTGTACACTTCAGATCACAGTTAAAATATTTTCAAAATATAATGATTACAAGATATATGCAAATAACCAATAAAATACATTAAAAATTAAAAATGCAACTGGAAAAGCAATTCTTGACTTTTTGTCTATCCACATAGCTACTTCTTGTGGAGTCATAGTGGTGAAATGAGCAGGTAGATGATAGGTATGCTGGTTTTGTGCTTCGGGAACAGGAACTGTAGTAACTGAGCTATCATCCATGAGATCATCCTGGCTATGCGTTATAGTCGGAATAATTAAAGAGCTTGGGAAACTCTGCGAACAAAAGTTATATTAATACCAAAAATGCAATTTTAAGCCCATATAAAAATGACTTTACGCTAAATATATAGGTATATGCCAATATTGATGTGAATTATAGTCCAGTCAATAATCTTTTTCTGGGAGTATGTGGCATAATTTTCTATGCAAAAATCGAATTCTACAACTTTAGTTCACTAAGCAAAATACTATGCTTTAGTTTATCGGTTATTATAAAGGTGTTTACATAAATACTCATATGATACCTTCAATCATTTATATTTAGTAATTAGAGCAACTCTTCTCTTCCCTGTTGCCGACCAGAATGTAGCTTCAACTATTCTTTAAATAATTTTAAACTGTTTATCCTTGTTTAGTGTAGTGTTATGTACAATTTCATGTTTAATTTTATGTTTATGACATTTTGCAATTGTTGGATAGCCCAAAATTGACAAAATGCCCTTGAAGATGCTCTAGGAAGCGAAAATACTTAGGCAAGATTTAATTAATAAAACTGTTCTCGATATCTACCTTTCATTTTATCAAAGTTATAAAAAAAAAACAGTAAAATATGGCATACATACTCATCACATATTTATATACTACAAAGCAGTCTATGACTTTGTAAATAAAAGAGAAATGTTTAAAGCAATAAAAGAGCTAGAAATACCAAAACAGTTGTTAAATTTAAAAAGCTAGCTCTTGAAAAAGTTGAATGTAGCAAGTTGAATGTAGTTGAAAATCAAGTGATATCAATGTTCTTAGGGGAACGGAAAAGGCTGTACGAGAGGCGTATGTAGCACTAAAAGAATCAGCTACAAAATGAGTTTAATAATAAACACCAACAAAACGAAGTATATGAAAATAGCACACAACCACAAATCCTACTACCACTTGTTATAGAAAATGACGTCATCGAAGCAGTGAACAAATTTGTAGACCTGGGAGCGCTCGGTAACACTGAAAATACTACTACCGCAGAGATAAACTGCAGAATTTGCACGATCAACAGATGCTATTTTTGGCTCAATCTCCTTCTTAAATCCTCGATTATATCGAGATATACAAAAGTGAAACAATAGAAAACAATGGTACGCCTAGTTCTAACATATGGTTCGGAGACCTGGACTCTAACAAAAAGTAATCAAAACATGTTATGATGTTTCGAAAGAAAAGTATTAAGGCAAATCTATGCAGCAGTGAATGACAATGGAGTGTGGAGGAGACGATATAACTTTGAACTTTATAGAATATACCAGAGACCACATATCGTAAAACATATAAAGATAGGATGTCTAAGTTGGATAGGGCATGTAATGCAGATGGAACAAAATGACCCAGCTAAACAAACGCTCCTTGATAGATCCATTGGTCAGAGAAAAAGAAGAAGACACGGAACAAGGTTCCTTGATGATAACATTGATGAAGACATGAGAAATATGGGAATACGTACTGGCAGAAGAAGGCGACGGATAGGGACGACTGGAGAGAAATGTTTGAGGAGGCTAGGCCCACACAGGGTTGTTAAGCCAAAATGATTTACTAGCTTTTAATAGTATTACTAAAAAAATTATGTAAACTTCATACCCTTACTTACTATATTGGTGGACCATTAATATGTGAAAGAATAAAGGTTAATCGTCCGAAGAGACTATGCCAGAATACCTGAACAAACTCATCAAGTGGACCAAAATATTTGTCATCTCTGACAGCCAAGCTACTGATTACCAAAGTCTACAACTTGTGAATCTCTAACAAATTAGAATTGCAAATCTCTTAAGTCACAGGCGAATCACAGCAACAAACTTTTGTTATGTGTGCAAGGGCATAAAGGAATTACGGTTAATACGATTACTGATAGTCCTGCTAAAGAAGAAGCTAGTACTCATTTTATTGAACTATATGATCTATGTCATCGTCAAAAAGATCATAATTCAATATTTACTTCTTTTTCTTTTAGTTCCTTCTCCTATCGGAGGTTACCTGTCACCACAGATATCCGTACCTTATTATTGGCGGCTGCTCTGAAAAGATCTACTGGGCTGCAACTATACCACTCTCTTAGGTTTCTTAGCCAGGAAATTCTTCGTCTTCCTATGAATCTTTTACCCTTGATTTTACCTTGCATTATGAGCCTCAATATCTCATATTTCGCACCTCTGGTAATGTGGCCTAAATATTTTAGCTTTCTTGTTCTATGTGATTTCATTATGTAGCCTTTTGTAGCCTTCTTAACACTTCTGCATTTGTAACTCGTTGGGTCCATGATATTTTCAAAATCCTTCTATAGCACCACATCTCAAATGATTCCATTTTTTTATATTATCCACTTTTAGTGTCCAGCTTTCCATTCCATACAACAATGTCGAGAACACGTAGCATCTTAAGGCTCTTATCCTCAGCTCCAGAGGAAGGTCTCGATTAACAAACATTGTTTTCATTTTTATAAATGCTTGTCTGGCAATTTCAATGCGTGTCCTAATTTCTCTACCTTGGTCATTGTTTTCATGTACCCAGTTTCCTAGATAATTGTAGTTATTCACTCGTTCTACTTGTTTTCCCTATCTAGCCTTCCTACTGTGTGTTGCTTAGAAATAATCATGCACTTGGTTTTCTTAACGTTCATTTGTAGTCCATATTTTATACTGACTTGTAATATATTTACCAAGCGTTGCAGTGCTTCAAGACTGTCTGCAAAAAGAGCGGTATCGTCTGCGAATCTTATGTTGTTCAAGATTTTTCCGTTTATTGATACCCTCTGTTGTTCCTCTGATATTGCTTTCTTAAAAATAGCTTCAATAGCTTCAGTCAATATTTACTAAGCATTAGCAAAACCATGGTTAAAAAACCTGAGGAAATGGTTCTCCACAACATCAACTAATCTATTTAAAGCATCAGTTAATAAAATAATTATAGCTAGAATGATCGCCAATATTCAAAACGAATAGGCACCAAAAGAAGAAGAATTTGCAGAACATAGAATAAAAAGACGAAATAAATCTAATAAAAATCCATGGTTCAGACAGGAAGTGAAACGAAAATGCAAAGAAGAACGATATCAGATTCCATCATCAGGCACTTAGGAAGTATATGACGGTTATAAAAGAATAAGGAATAAAATAAATATTATTAAATAAAATAAAGGAAATAATAGACCAGCATTGCTGTGTCTCGCAGACTTACAGAAAACCTTTGATGGAATTCAGTTTGAGTATATAATCGAATTACACAACAGAATAATGCAAAACAAAGAAGAACGAGAAGAATATTTAAGATTCCATCATCAGGCACTCAGGAAGTATGTGATGGTTATAAATGAATAAGAAACAAAATAAATATTATTAAAGTAAAGACAATAAATAAAATAAAATACATAAAACAATAGATCAGCATTGCTGTGTCTTGCAGACTTATAGAAGTATATACTCGAATTGCACAACGAAATACTGTAAAACTTTATTACAACAATAAAAACACAATTATAGAGAAAATTATACGAAATCGCCCGAACATCTTAATTATTTTCTAAACTTGGTTTAATATTACACCCTGAATGACTATTTAAAAAACAGTAATAGATACAGATCGATGATACATAAGTCACTAGAGATAGCGGCATTACGATAGGACGCCTTACGCTGGCCTCATTGTTCGGGGCAAATCAATCAAAGAGTGTCATAAATTTGGATATATTTTATAAACGTTATAAAATCTAAAAGCAGAAAAATTATTACCTGTCTTTAAGTGTCATAAATTGAGGTTACATGATTAGTCGCTCGATGCCACATGCTACCGCGCGGTACATGGTATCAGTCTATTAACTTAGCTTAATAGACTATCAGTCTATTAAGTCTATTTTTTAAAAATATGCAATCGCTTGGACTTAATTTGGCGACACAGCTTTAGCGCAGCTACAAAGGTTAGTGTTTCAATATTTTAGAAGGAAGATAAAAAGCAAAGTTTTATATGCCTAAATTGTGTTAAGTTCAAAAAATCTTTACATAAATGAAATCATACCTTTAAATGCGTTTAACAATTAAAACACAAAAATTAAAATGACATTACAAGAACTATATATATGGTAATTAAAAATATATATATATCTATACGTACATGAACAGTTAAATAATTTTGTTGTATGTTCTTTTCCTCCTGTTCTTTATCAAGGCTGCTACACGATCTTGTTTTATGAAGGTTGTTCATTGAGTTTGCTTTTCTTACATGTCTTCTCGCTAGACTGGGAGTTATAGCACCTTTTAATATGTGTTTACTACTATTTTTCTTCAGTTCTACTTTTTTCCTAAAATACATAATTTTTTTTAGTTATGGATCTATCTTATCTATCTATGGTCACACGCTTTCAACTTGTTTTGAAGTGAATAACGATACTTTTCAGGTCGTCAACTAATAATGTACAAACGCTGATCAAAATTTTCATTGACATATTACATACTAAGTTGCGATATCTTAATTTAGAACGGGGAAGTAAGATTTCCTGTGACCAATGTGACTGTGACCAATCCATATATCTGACATTTTTTTAGTTATTATAGGCCTATAAAGAGAAAACGTATATGTTTTCCGCATAAATTTCGGCATCACTTTTTAAGATTTTTTATTACCATTGAAAAGTTTAATATTTGAGATAAAATTACAAAACTTTATCTTTTAAAACATAAAAAAGCTGTAAAATGGTGATTTTTAAAAGTTGTAAGATTAATTTGTTGCTTCATAAACCCTCAAAATTTCAGATCGATCCATGAGTTAGTTTAAAAGTTACTCTATTTGTTTATTCCAGGGACCATTTTTTGCAGAGAGAGAGAGAGAGAGGGAGAGGAGAGAGAGAGAGAGAGAGAGAGAGAGAGAGAGAGATACATTAGTCAGAAAATAATGAAGATACAGTAATTCTACGCATACCAAATGAAATTTTAAGAGTTAATCTACCAATATACACCAAAAAATACGATAATTTGGGACACTGTTAGTTTTTTTTTTAAATTCACAGCTAATTTGTTTATAACAATTAAGGAACGCAATTTTCTGCATTTGAAAGATGTATTATGTGGATAACGTGGATATTGTACAAAAAGTTGTAAAAAGGTTGCACCATAACACCATAACATGATCTTTGTGAATTATCAAAAATATGGTGCAAGTTAAGACTAATAGTGGCGAGTGGAGTTCAAATCTATGAGTTCAAAAAAAGAAAACGCATCTTCAACCTACTACAATTGTTTATATCTCCGGATCTACTCAACGGTCTTTAATCTTTCTTTTTTTATTTGTATGTACTCTTTGCGTACTTTACAAATAAACGTTAAATTGTTTTAGTAAGTAATTTACGATTTATCATTTATATTTATTAAATAAAAAAATATGTAAGGTATCTAAACGGTTTTTCAAGTCAGTTATATTATTATAAAACCCAAATATTTACCAATGTATAAGAAAGAATTTTGTTAACCAGAAATCAATACAATTTACTTACTTTCGTCTCCATATTACGTTTACAAAAGCAAACTCAGCTAGTGAAAAAAATATAAAACTTGTACATGCTAAAAACCAAATTTCGCTTAGTTTTATATATGAAACTTTGGGCAAATTTTTGCTTAAATTGGCGTTTAACGTAATAAATGCAAGCATAGTTGAAGTACCTGTAATGCCAAATGAAAATAAATTAATAAAATGTTAAAAATAAAGGTAACAATTTCATTAGCTAATAAATTGAAATAAACAATAATAAACAAAAATAAGGAATTAAAAAAAAGTTTTTTCTTTAAAACTTTTGACAGTTCATAATATTATCATCAAGCACAATATCTTAGAATTCAAAGTAAAGAATGATATGAATGTAATCTATATACAAAACCAAGAAAAAATTGTTAGCCATTCAGTTATAAATGATGGAATGAACAGCTGGATAGAAAAATAAGGTATTTTATGAATAAAAGGGGAGTTCGGAGGCGGACTTGGAGACTCTACGAGTAGGTGGAAAAATGTATGATCTCACAAAAATGAATTAATGATTCAATTAGGCGTCATGTATGCAAGTACAAACATTTACTCAGTTACCAACATTAAGTAGTTTTCCCTGTACACGGAAATATGTATATATATATACCGCCCAAATAGTTCATGTTGGTATCAATTGGTAACGGTAATTAAATTAGATGAAGTATATGTAGAAATAAATAATGAAACAGATGGATATGGAAAAACTAAGGCAACGAAGTTTTAAGCAGAACTCCGATACAGAAATATTCTAAACCATAATAAACACAAACAACCTAGACAATGAAGAATATTGGAAAAAATTAAGGACAATAGTATTAACAGCAGCAAAAAGACCATAGACAAAAAGAAGAATATTGAAAGAAAAACTCGCGAGAAAAGAGAATACTATAACATCTTGAACATGGTCACAATATCCTTGGAATACATCTATAAAGCTTTGAAGTAAGGTCTAAAACAAGTTGATGGGCTTTTTTATACATTGTGTATGTTGTGTAAAATACTTGATATTAAATGAATGCATTAAATGCATAAACGAGGTAATGAAGGCATTGGAGGAGAGAGAATATCCTGGTTACCTGATGAATGTGATGGGGGAATATCTGTTCGAGAAAAGGATCATGGTGGAGAAAAGCACGAGAGTCGACGTGACGGCCGGGGTGCCCCAGAGATCTGTCTTGGGTCCGACGCTATAGAACCTCGCATATAACGAGGTTATCAACTATGAATACGGAGACGGTACAACCCCTTTCCCGTTCGCGAATGATCCTGCTATGCTGGTACTAGCGCGGGATGAGTCAAATCTCAAATACCAAGTTCGGAACGCAGGCGGTGGCGTAAGCAAATGGATGATGCAGCACCGACTGAAACTCGTAAGAAAGAAAACCGAAGCCAAGAAAACCATTGCACCAGAATGAAAAATGAAAGGAGCACGTAAAGGAGGTTACACAGAAGGCTGAGAATAGTGCGGCTGCGTTGGGGTGGGTGATGCCCAATATTGGGGGATTTAAATCTGAAAGAAAGAGGACCTTACATGGTGTTGTGAAGTAGATCGTCCTCTACGCGGCACCAGTCTGGAGTGTTGCGGTAGAGATAACGGCCAACAGGAGGCTCATGCCACGAGTGGACAAAACAAAATCTGTTGCGATTGGCATACGCCTACGGGACTGTGTCTGCGGCAGTCTTGTGGACTATCACTAGATGACGCTGCATGTGTTGGCAGTGGAAAGAAAAGAGCTGTATGAGAGAAGATACCTAAACATTACTATGGCTAAGAGAAGACAGGAAAGGTTAAGGTCAATTAAAAGATGGCAAGAAGCATGAAACAACATGGAGGATGTCGCTCAGTGAACAACGATACTGATCCCGAGCATAAGAGAGTGATGGACTGTGGTCACAGGCGACTGGATTATTTTCTAACCTAGGTGCCCACAGGCCACAGGTGCTTTATGGCCCACCTCTCTAGGTGGGGAAAGGCTAACACGAATGAATGCCTATACTCCGGACTAGGATTCGAATTAAATACAGAGAGAACACAAAAAGGCGAAATTTAAAAAAATGAAGAACAACAAACCTTACTTCTTGCTGACTGACACATTCCACTCGTACTTCGTAAAGATGTAGTACATTGGTAATAACAGAAAACACATAAAGTAAATTAAAAGTTCTCAAAAGAAATATTCGAAACAAGGTATTGAACATTTTACCGACAAAATGATATGCAAACATAGATATAATCATAAAAATTATAAAGTCTTCAATGATACACTTCAAGAATTACGTTTTTTTACTTTTTACTAGATTCGTTTTGGACATCACATTCCTATGAATTATTTTGATTGAAATGTTATAGCACACAGATAAAATATGATCCGAGAAAATTACTGCGCTTGAATATGCTTTTTTAAGGTGATGAAATTTCTAATTCTGTTTTTTCCGTCGTTCAAATCAAATTGGTTCCTGATAATTTTTTTGGAGTATTTCCGTGAACTCTTTGTGTATAAAGTTTTTATGAATGTAATTTTAAAAATGTAATCTTACGATAGAACTGGATCAACATTTTTCCTCCAGTTTTCTCTTTTCCTTTTACCCTGTCTTATTTTGGCCCATGACTTTAAGGCATAATATTAAGACATAACATTAAGTTCCTGTTTTTGGTAAGTTTTAGATACTATTCCAGAATCTGATACAAATTTTCCATTTCTACTTCAGTAGATTTGGGGGTAGGTGCGTGGACCTCAATGGCATTCTTGTTAAAGCTAATCTTTATAGCTTTATCATATATGGGTATAAATTCGATCATTATTTTAGCTATTTCTCTATCAACTATTATGGCTACGCCATTTTTATTTTGTGTAGTAATTTCTCAAGAAATTGAGGTGGTGCTCACCCATAACTGTTTGGCTGACCGGAGGATTCTTAGCATTCTCTATACATTTAAGGGTTACCTGGAACTGAAGGCAGTTTGTTTCTGATTCCAGCTATTATAGCATCCTAAAGATTTTCTTATATATACAGCGGTATTTAGGCGGCACGCCCTTGAAGTAGAGATCTATGGAGGAGTATCGTCGAGCCGCAAGCCCTGATCTCTTGCAGTACTGCACCACCATATGCCGATCAGACTCCAACGTATTCTAGTCTAAGCCGCAGATTCATCTAGAATTTTAAACTGCTGCGTTAGCCTTTTTATTTTCTGTACACCGAGCTGCTGGGGATCGAACCCACATCCACTGAACCACTAGCAGTTAAGCGAATTAGAACTAGCTGCCCAGCCCGCTTGGCTATCTGACCGAAAATTTTCTCACGAATCTTTAATATGATAGGTAGTCATTCCGTGGTTTTCCGCATATTTATGCTCTTGACCACCACACCAGGAAAAAAGGTACCCTTATTGGGAATACTTATTTTTTATGGAAGTATTTTTACAGTTGTAAAACATGACTTTTTTACAGCATCGGATATATTTTTACATTTTAACATCCGTCGCTTATTCTGTTACATAAAAAATTTTCATTTTGAAAATGAAAAGTGTTTTCATTTTCTATAGTTTTAAGCAAACATTACCAAAGAGTTTTATCAGCAACTTTACCAGTAAAATATTCTTTGTACGTTGTAATTGTACGTTGTAGTAGTAACAAGCATTGATATACTTATACAATATTTAATGCAGTTTTGTAACTAACAAATAAGCAGCCATCTCTAATCACTGTTGAAGATCTTTAATGACCGATGAGCATTTTGGTATCTGAAAAACTTATTTGCGCTTGGCAAAGTGTTAAGATAAACGTTTCTGTTTATCTTAACACTTTATATACAACTTTGGTACCAAAAACAAATGGAATAAACCGTGGATCATTTTTTAGCTCATATTTTTAACTTGAGCATCCAAGACAGAATAAACTGTTCACCAAAAGGTATTCGCTTCTATTAATGCATCAAAATGGTGAAGAACTTGTTATACCATGACAGCACAGACAAGCCTGAAAGGTGGTTGAAAGGAAGACAAATTACCAACCCAGATGCTGGCAATATACTACCATAAAATGCATCATACTCAAAAGCAGTTGGTCAACCACGTACTATATTAATCTCAAACAGAGATCAAGCTATTCTCTTTAACACTCTAAAGAATTGTACAATTAATGATTATCTTGAAAGATTGAGTCAGCATATAGAACCAAAAATATAATTTTCTCATCCCGTATATTAAACAGTAGAAAATGCATATATGTATTATCTAAAAACTTGGTAGATAAATTCATAGCAAAAACAAAGAAGATAATAGTAAATGGAAATATACTAGAAGCGAGAAAATTAATAACTCCATCAGTCCGCTCAATTCTGCCCGATGCATGTCCAAGCATAACTTCTATCTTAATAATGAAAAAAATAATAAAACTAGGTTTAAATCCTTTCTCAGATATATCATACTTATAGATAGGAGCAACCAGTCTTGCCTTCAGTCATATTCTAAGCTTCCGAAGACAAATTTTCGTTTCACCTTTTCCAGACCACTTTGTACTACCTGCATCTTTTATCATCGAATTGGAACAAACAACATACCGTATATTTATAGCTTACAACGAAACATGTTTCACATGCAACGTATCTGAACACCAGGTAGCTAATTGTCCAAATATTTCACCTTTTAACCATCCTCACAATGACAGTGCAATGCAAACAGAAATGAGACAAAATTCATCAATAAATCATACTCAACAAGATAATCTACAAAATACTCTCACAATCTCAAATACCACTCCCTCCACACTTACTACGTCTTCTCAAACCATATTACAAACAGTAGCAATCCCAAATTTATCAATAAACCAAACCCAATAATACTCACTACAAAATACATCTATACATTTGACCACTTTTTCAGTTACTACTTTCAGACACCTCAGTCGTCCTCTAATATCCAAAAATATAAATTAACCTCACCCGAAACAAGCCAACACTTACCTCCAAATAACAATACACATATGAATTCTCACTAACCCCAGATAACTTAAAACAAAGCAACCGGGAAAAGAACCCTAGAAGATGCAATCACGCCACCCGCCGAAGAAAACTTAAAAAAATTTAGGCTTCAATTAAAGAAAAATACCAAAACTGATGACAAAAACTTAAGAGATGAGATACCAAATTTCTAAATATTACTAGAACCAGTTAGAGAATATATAGAAAGGAAAAAGGAACTGTTAAGCTTCGATCAAGTAGTGGATCTATTCGAAAATATACAAGGATCAAAAGACATAATCAGCATAACAAAATTGTACTCGGATGACCCTCATGCACTTATAAAGTTTCTAACGGAATTACATCCATACCACAACGACAAAAGAATGAAAACCAAAAGCACCAAATTAATACGAAAACTTGGCAAACACATAAGTTTACTCTCTGCAGTGAAAACTTCATTGTTGGAAGAAGATTCCGACTCATTTACCGACCCGGTAAATAATTCTTCTAAAGAATAATAAGATCACTGTTGACTTCATGTTTGTTCCATCACATTCAGGTATACAAGGAAATAAAGAAGCAGATGAACTAGCCCGCTTAGCATCCTTCAGCCAGGACTCCATTCTTATTAATGAGGTTTCTTCTGATGACTTCAAGTCAGAAATAAAATGTAAAGTGTTAAGTGCATGGAAAAATAAGTGAAGAGCATCACAAAATAAACTCAAGATATCAAACAATTAGTGAAACCGTGGCTCCAACCAACAGCGAATTGGCGACCTGCAAGTACTTGGATGTGATACGAGAAACTATCGTGCGCGAGTAGCGAAGAAATCTTGCACTTTTTACTGTACATTTCATAGATTTCATAAATTTATATTGTCGATTGTCAAATTATCATATTTCATATTCGTTTGTTTATTTACACCTTCTGTCACTGAAGAAAATGGGATTTAGAAAATGCTGTGTTATAAATTGTAAAAATACAACAAAAAATTGTCAATTTAAGTTTTATTCGTTTCCAACTTCGAAGCACAAATTACTACGAAGAGAAAAGTGGATTTATATCATAAAAAAGCATAAGTAACATAACCTAAATTATGCATTATTCTTACGCCCGATTTTAAAGTCAGTTTGAAATAAATAATAAATAAAAGTTCACTTTTAAGTGAAAATTTTAGTTTCATAACACTCACTTAGAGTTCACTTTAACCCAAAAATCAAGTTTAATGTTAATGTAACTTTAAGTTTAGCTATGTTTAGCTATGTATTACATAGCTTTGTCCATTTTTTCCTAATTCTTCCACATCCTTAACATAATTTGCCAGCTTTTCCCTTTGACTCAGTGCTTGGTTGAAAAGTTGTTTGGTGATTTACTTTCACAAATCCAGTTTTTATTATTGTATCCATATTAACAGTAATGCTGTAATTTAATAATGTATTTATTTGTATTTACACTACATACAACGTTTACCTTTTAATAACATACCGACATAACCTCAATCTTACTTTTTCTTCTTATTCTTTTTTGGGGCTACGTCCTTGACAGTTATCCGGTAACCTCGATCTAACATGAAAGCGCAGTAAATTTTGCTGATTTACGACACCAGGTGTCGCTCTTCCGAACTTGCACGGTCCCAATAGACACGACCAAGTGAGAATAACACGTTTTCGACTAGGATACAGTAATTTAACACATAAACCATCACTATCAAAATAAAATGAAGGAAGCCTTAGGAAAAAACAGGAACATTAAAAACACAATAAGTTATCTTAAAGACTCAGGACTGTATCAATTATTGTAATTTTTTTCCAACTTTACCTGTATTATATTTTTTAGGTCGCTAATAACCCTTGTGGTTACAGCGTAAATAAATAAAAAAAAAGAAAAATATTACGCAATAAAAATACATTAAAAAAATCATATTGAATCAGTATGACCCAAAAATTACTTTGCAATACTTAGCATATCTAATTTGTTTCGTTTCGTTGTACACAGTTAAATCTCTATAAATACTTGTATAAGAATGGTTTACATTAAGTACTAAATATAAAATAAAATTAGTATTTAGTGACCTACCCAATACAACTCTGGGAGGAGAAGCATCAGCTTGTAACCAAAACGTAACCCACGATGTACACACCAGTAGTATAGATGGCAGAAAATAGTCCATTATATAATAACCGACTTCTCTTCTAAGATTAAATTTAAACACTATGGCACTGTAATTTCCACTTTTACCTAAAAAAGAGAAAAATATTTTTAACGATAATATGTAAGTTGCCATTTGACAAAAAGTAAATCTTATGCTTTTAATACAGTGATTAAAATTCTTTGTTAAGTATCTTAATCTCCTACAGAATAAAATAAATAAAGAATAAAGGCGTTATGATTTAAATTCTGCTCAAAAAGATTAAAGATCACAAAAAACAAACGAATACAAGAATAAAATTATTAAGACCATCAAAAAATTCCACGTAGACTCGTTTTGATTTCATGTACAACACGAATGAACCAGAAGAAAAAACCGTGGGATCGGAAGACATTCCAGAGATTGGCATAGACGAGGTAAAGAGACAGCACAATTATTTTAGTGGAAAATATTTTACGTACATTAAAGAGAAATGGGTACATCAAATATAATATACCTATTCCCTTTTAATTTTCCCTTTTAATTTTGGAAATTTCAATTTTGGGAAGTTATCAGCCATAATGAAATACTAAGAATTAATACAGTATAATATATTCATATCATTAAAAACATATATCCAAAAGTTACATTGCAATTAGAACAAATAAAATTCAATTACAATCAGAATTTCGACAATATAACAACATACCTCCGAAGCTTTTTATTTTACTCGTAAAATGCACCATCCAACAACTAAAATTGAAATAAAGAGGAACTAAAATGAAGGGCTATAGCTCAAACCGTATCAGTTTCGTTGATGATGCCAATATTTTAATGACCAGCAATATACATTTTTTTTATTAAACATCGCGCTTTGCCATCTGCAAATTTTACAATAGGCAAATGTTAAGTAACAGTAACAAAACATTTAGGAAAACTCTCCAGTGGCAGTTTTCTCTTACTTACTTCTCTAACACTAGTCTACACTACACTATAGAACAGTACTAAGATTGGAAATTCTGACAGGCAGATCACATGGAAGATGCCTTCTTAAACTTCGCTGGACGGAACATTCCATTAGGGGTTGTGCAAATGCGTTGTTCATACTTCTGGAAAAAGTAGAATATTTCTTCTTTGACATTTTTCATTTTAAGGTCATGAGAATTAACATTGTTTTCTGTAATTCTTGCATTCATCGTCAAACGAATGATTTCTACATGCACAAATTTTTGTTTTTATTTCCTCTTTCGCAGCTGCTTCAATGTCTTCCTTTATTCTGGTCAAGTGGGAGTCTATATCTGTCTGGCATTCTTCATATAAATTTTGATTCCTTAGCCTGTAGGTGATGTTATCCGAGTATCGTTCTGCAATTGTCGCATATGTCAGCTTTTGCACATTCCATGTTTTTGTATCCATTTTATTTTCTTTACTAGTATTTGAAATTCTAGCCCTCAATATTGAGATCACTAGGCAATGATCTGAGTCTATGTTTGCGCCTCTATAACTTCTGCAGTTTATTACGTCTGTTGCATGGCTTGAGTCTGTTTAGATGTGAAATACAAATGTTATATCAAATAAAAATATCTTTAAAATGTTTAGTCTGAACTGTAACATGAAACTTTGTAACGAAATTTTGATTTTTTTGTAAACAAGTATTTGTTTCACTTAATTCATTGGACTTATAGGTCGATAGATCGACTTTAAAATAATTCTAGACACGTGTTAGGAGTTTTCTGATCTTTACATATATATATATATATATATATATATATATATATATATATATATATATACATATATATATATATATATATATATATATATATATATAATATATAATATATATATATATATATTATATATATATATATATATAATATATAATATATATATATATATATATATATATATATATAATATATATTATATATATATATATATATATATATATATAATATATATATATATATATATATAATATATATATATATATATATATATTTTTATATATGTATATATATATATATATATTATATATATATATATATATATATATATATATATATATGATTTCAGTTGTTTTCCGGGTTTGACTCCGCGTTAAGTAATTTTGGTTTTTAGAAAAACCATTGTTTTGACACTTGCCATTGTCAAGTCAGATTTGTTCTGCTTCGTCTTGATGTTTCAAGAGAACTGATTTCTCGGTCGCTGCTCGCTAAGTTTAAATACCTTAAAGCGCTTCTTGTGATTGGTCCTGTGCGCAGAGTGGGCCGGGTCTTCTTCGCTATTTTAATTTCTACGTTTTTCTGCAGAATTGGTTTCCACGTATTTGGGAGTCTTTGGGCATCGTCTCTGGTATTTAAATTTTTTGGATGTTTTTCGATCTCTATGGCTTCCCTGATTACACGTTTGGCCTTATTTTCGATATTGGCTAGCATTGTTGTTCCATTTAAGTCGATTTTGTGTCCTGTGCTGATGGCATGTTGTGCTAGAGATGAAGTTTTCTGTTTTCTTTCGATGGCGTTTCTATCTTCTTCGCGTCTAACTTGTATTCTTCGATTTGTCTGTCCGATGTACGATTTATCGCAGTCCTCACACGGGATTCTGTATACACCTTGATTTTCCAATGCAACTTTTGTTTTTGTCGATGGTAATATGGTTGCGATTTTTTTGTCGGTGTTAAAAATAGTTTCTATGTTGTTTTTACGTAGCTCTCTGCTGATTTTGTCTGTCGTACCCTTTATATAGGGCAGGATAGTTTTTCCGACTGGTTTTTCCTCTTTTTTTGGATCTTTGATTTTGTTTCGGGATTTCTGTGCCTTTTCAATCGTGTACATGGAGAAGCCATTTTTTCTTAGAGCTGTTTTAACTTTTTTGCAAATTACTTTTGACCAAAATTACTTAACGATTAGTCAAACCCGGAAAACAACTGAAATCACATATAGCTCCCGCGGAAACTTCAAATCCAATATATATATATGTATATATATATATATATATATATATATATATATATATATATATATATATATATATATATATATATATATATATATATAATGGCTATACACCCAGTGTGGGGTTAAACCGCAAATACTTTCTAGATCCTATTTCTTAAGTGGATCAGTCTTTTTTGTTTATCTTATCTTCTTGACAATATCTCTCCATTTTTTCCTGTCTCTAGTTCTTTCTCTTCATTCACTGACTCCTGCCCTTTGGAGGTCTTCTTCAACTTCTTGCAGCCACTTTGATCTCGGTCTTCCCCTTCTCTTTCTTCCTCCTGGATTCTATTCTATCATTGCGTATGGCACTGCCTCATCACCTGCTCGCCAAATGTGATCTAACCATCTAACTCTACATTGCCTTATTTTATTTACGATGTCTTCCTTAAGTTCTTCCTTAATTTCTGCATTTGTTCTGCTTCTATATTCATTTTGCTCTGTTCTGATTGGTCCTAGTATGGTTCTTATAATCTTTCTCTCTGCTATTATTAAGTCTTCTTCATCTTTTTTAACCATCGTCATTGTTTCCCCTGCATATAATAATATTGGTCTAATTATGGTGTTATAAATGCTCATCTTACTTTTTTTAGTCAGTGTTTTGCTTTTAAGTAATCTTTTTGCAAAATAAGCTTTATTCGCTGCTAATAATTTTTCTTTTATTTTGGATTTCCTTTCTCCGGATTTACTTATTGTAACTCCTAGGTATTTGAAGTATTCTACTTCTTCAAACTCAGAACTTCCTATTTTGATTTTTTCCTTCATTTGTTTTTTCCCTAATCTTAATATTTTTGTCTTTTCTTGATTTAATCTTAACCCCATTACCTCCCCTTTCTCTCTTATTTCTTCAAGCATTTCTTTCATTATTTTTCTGTTCTTTGCAATAATACCAATATCGTCTGCATATGCAATTATTTGACCACCTCTTGTTCTGAGATTTCCTTTATTTATATTTCGCAGTGCATATTCTAATGTTAGATTAAATAGCGTTGTTGATAAGGCATCTCCTTGTTTCATCCCTTTATTCATACTGAATTCCTCTGTATCGACTCTTTGTGTGTTTATGCTTATTTTTGTAGTTCTCATTGTCATTTCTATTAATTTTCTGAGTTTATGTGAAATTTTTAATTTTTTAAGTGCTGTCATTAATACGTTTCTTTTAATTGAATCAAATGCCTGTTTGAAGGTTATGAATAACATTTCTAATTCTAATTTATACCTGTTTGCTTTTTCCATTATTTGTTTTATTGTGTGTATTGCATCTATTGTAGATCTTTCTTCTGTGAATCCACATTGGTACTGTCCTACTGTCTTCTTTGTAATCTTTGATAACCTCGTTTTTATTATTGATGTCAATATTTTATATGTTGTATTTAGAAATGTTATTCCTCTATAATTTTCACAGATTTGTTGGTCTCCCTTTTTATGTACGGTTATGATCTGTTTTAACTCCCAGTCCCCTGGCATTTTTTTCTTCTTTCCATATGTTTTTCAATAGTGCCAGTATTTTTTCCTCTTAGTTCCCTTCCCCTGTATTTTTATTAGTTCCATATTAATTCCATCTTTACCAGGGGCTTTTTCATTTTTGCTTCTCTGTATTACTTCATCCAATTCCTCTAATGTTGGGTCTATTGAAATTTCGATGTCTACTGCATCTGCTTCTTCTTCGTGTGCCGTTTTCCTCCTCGTTATGTATTTCTTTTTCTGTTGTTTCCTCCGTCAAGAGCTCTCTGTAGTAATCTCTCCATACTTGCTTGTATTCTTGGTCCTCTATTATCACTATTCCCTCTATATTTTTTATTCCGTTTGTTTTGCCTTGTATTTTTTGTTTTGTTCTTTCATGTTTTTGTAAAAACTTTTCATATTTTTGTTTGTTCTTTCCTGCTCTATTTCCTGCATTTTTTTGTCTACCCATCTTCTTTTATTTTGCCTTACTTTTTTAGCATTCCTTCTTAATTTTTCATATTCTTCTCTGTCTTCCTCTTTATCTGTTCTTAGCCATTTATATCTGGCTTGCACTTTTTTTCCTGTTATTTCTCTACATTTTTGGTTATACCATTCGTTTTTTGTTTTAGCCTGACTTTTACCTATCTGCATATTTGCACCTTCTT